CATGGCAGCAGGGAAGGGGAGACTTTCACAGTGTTTTTAATAGCAGGGCAGCAATTACCAGGCAGCCACAACCCCTCTATTTGCTACCACCCTGGAGATGCTAGCAAAGGTCAGAGTACACAGGCAGCTTGGTTGTACATCCTCTTGGTGCTATTTTTATCTAAGTTACTAATTACACATTACCTGTATGTCACCAGGCTGATCGATATTAGTCTGAGGAATCAATATGGACATGGGTGATGGTGCTGTTTGCCATTCAGAGCCTGCATAAGCTGGGAGAAACAGGGCACCATCGATCCCAAAGGTGGGCTGAGATGCAGAGCGGGATGGGAGGCACAACTAGGGCAGTGACCACACGCTGCCTTCCTAAATAACACTGTGACACAGGCGCTGGGACAGCCTCCTGGCCAGGGACCTGCCATGTCCGTGCTGCCCGCCGGCATATGCCTGCATCCCAAGGCTGGGGCAAACCTCCCACCCATCCCGCAGTGCCCCCAGGGGAATGGCACAGCCCTTAGTAATCTGGGTTGCTTTTCAGTCCTAAGGACGCCACGCATTTGAAAGGTTCATTCTGATCTACAAATGAACAATTCTCCCTCTTTATGTGTTCTTACCTGATAATCGGTGTCTTAAGTAATCACAGGCTACTTAAAAAAGCACAAGGTCTCCTGCATTTTGCTTTGCTGTTCAACTTACCCAAAGCTGAGGCCACCTCTGCAATGCCACCACACAGCTTCTGCCAGCAAGAGGGACCTTGGCGACAGAATGCAATCAGATTTTGCAGGAAGAAGCTCTTAGGACTACCATGAAACCTGGGATTAAAGTGCAGCTAAGTAAGGGAGTTGCATAACTGGGGGTTTCTGCCTGTCTTGCTGGAGTCTTATGACTGTTCTGATTCTGTCATAGCAATGCTGGGAAATTGCTCTTTGAAACTAAAAGAAAGGCAGAGGCAGGTCAGAATCATTTGCCCTCAGCACTGGGTTTGTCTTGAGCAGTGAGTTGATGGTGGTAGGATTAGACAGAGAGCAGCATGGGGTGAAAGCAAACCTCTCCCCAAAGGCTTCCCTCATGCTCAACTGTGCCTGTGCCCTTGCCGAGGTGCAAAGCTCTGCAGCCTCCTCCTGTCAGGCCACTTCGCAGGCACGTCTCAGAGACCAGGGAAAGGACAGCAGCCGTGGGGCGGCTGGGGTGCACCCAGTTACCAACCACCGATGGATCACCAGCAAAGCAGGAGCCACTTGCCTGAAAAGCGCACGGTGAAAAGCTTCCAAAAAGCAACACAATCCTGTTTTTTATTGAGGCTTTTAGGGTAGCAAAGGGAGCTGTGGAGGAAGGCTGCTAGTCCCTGCTGCTCGCCTATGAAGACTCGTCGCTTTTCCTAAGCAGCAGCTGCAATCTGCTTTGGTGCCAGGGCACGGTCGCCAGCAGCTTAATCCAACAGCAGACCCATAATCCTTCCCTTAGTCCCACAAGCCCCAAAAGGAGAAAGCTGCCTGGATTTGCTGTTGAATGGGGTTCACTCAGCCTCAGGTGCAATCTCACTCTCCACCGGTAGCCAGCCTCACTCCCCTGGAAAGCCATTCCCCTGGGAGCGCAGATGCTTACGGACCAGGGAGCACAGTCCACGCTGGAAACCCGGCGGAGGCTGCTTTGGCTCTCAGCACCCTCCAGCCTTCAGGACACTCCTCTAATGCAGTGACACTGCTGGGGACTGTGTGGGCTGTGACAACTTGGAGCAGGGCCTCGGGGCTCCCCGGGGCATCACTGACAGTGCCTGTGGGTGAAGCTGGTGCCTGAGACACTGTGATGGCCCCACGCTCCTTCCAGCAGCTTCGCCACTGGCAGTCGTTTGAAAAGGGGTCTAAGAGCTTTGCAGAGACAAACTGTAATGTCCAGCTATAGACCCCAGCCCCCCCGACACAGCACCTGGAAGCCACCAGAGAGAATGTACAGGCACAGCCAGCCCTGGAGAACATCCCCTGCCCTTCCCTTACAGCCCCGTATGGCAGGAAACATTTCTCCCTAGAATTAACTCCTATTTTTAAAATGCCAACAAAGAGACTTTTGCTGAAAAACAGCTGTGGCAGGACTTCAGCTATGCACCCATTTGCACTCCCTGTCCCTGGGGTTAGCCTTGGGGCCCCTCTCCATCAGCAGCAATGGGCTGCAGCTGGGGGTTGGGGCCGCCCCGCTGCCCCACACATAAATGGGGCCAGCTTGGCTACTTCAGCCTCCCCGGAGGTGCTGCTATGCAGGTTTGGGAGGAGGGATCAGAGCAGAAATTTAATTTTTGTGAACTGGTACCATTCTTAGGGAGTGAGCCCCATTGCTAATCTCTCAGGGGCAGCTTTGACTTTGCTTGTATGGTGTGAGAGCTGAGCAAATGTTCTGGTTTTTATCCTTTCCCCCCTCTCCCTGATGTTCTGCTGCTCATTTACTCTTTCATTAAGGATCATCCTCTTGTCATTTGTGTGATCAAATGTTGGTTTTTTTCCTAAGGAGTGGATGCCAGGCATCAGGAATCATGTGTTCAACGTATGGTGGCAATTAGCCCAGCTCTGAACCCTGATGGCATGTCTGTGTCTGCAATTAATGCTCTGCTCTATCTGCATGAGGTTTCTATCTTACTTCCTTCTGGGTATGGAAAAGGCACAGCTTGGATCTCTAAAAAAATAGCAGTAAAGTGTTAGACACTGCTTGAGCCTGACCTCCCCTTGCTGTGGGGCTGCTCTCAGAATTTGGTCTTGTTTGGTTCAGCTTAGCCTCTGCACCTGGATTTAGTGAGTGTGACTCGGGGCATCTGTCTGATACAGTGCAGACCCCATGGGGACTGCTTCTGGCTCTGCTGGTGCCTCTGCTCATGCACTTTATGGTATGTTTCATGCTTCTGTCTGAGTGTACCCGGATCTTTATTAGGAAATTAGATTGCCTGATTCAATGTTTTATAGTATTAAGCTTGTTTACTTGTGCCTTTGGTGTGCTGAAAAATACCTTGACTCATTTTTGAGGATGGGAAAATGGTATCAAAATCTGGATTTCATGGGGAAAATATCAGGGCAGGCAGAGGGGATGTGCCTGTGGGACCTGCTGTGCTTCAGGGAAACCTGGGGTTTGGGAGAAATGTGGCCTCCTCCCTCCGGCTGCTCTGCCAGCATCTTGTGGTAGTTTTGTAGGGGTTCCCCTGGCAGAGCTGCCCCCCTTCAGAAAGCTGCTCTACCAAACCTCATGGGCTTGCTCTGTTTTCCTTCTCTCCTACATAAATTCATCTACCCTAAAATCCCTGCTTTTCTCTGAGATAATGTGATTTTTGGGGAGGAGTTTCTCTGTCACACGGCTGCAGCTGATTTTTAATGAAGAGCTTCCTCCTGGGGGGTGGGAACAGGGAGAGAAACTGGGGTGGTGGTGGGGAGACAGGACATTTCTGAATCCAAATACATTAAACCATTTCATTCTGTTGACTCGGGGCTGCCTGGCTCTGAATGGGAATTAATCCACAGCAAACCAAAATTAAAAAGCGCAATATAAAATGCTTAGCAAGGCACCGCCAGGGTTTAAAGCAACCCATTAGCTTGCTTGACCGTACACAGTAAATTTTCATTTGTCAATAATGCTTAGAGCCTACAGTTTATTTACAGCCTGTTCAATATTACCAAAACCCCTCAGAATGCCTCATTTCTATTTATCTGCCACAGTTGGTTTCCTTTCCATGGACTCTTCCTAATCCCTTGCTTTGTACCTGCTTGTTTCTTGTTGCAGAGCCAGATGCAGCAGGGATGTGCCACCCCTCTGGGCAAAGGTAACGCAGGGTTACCCCTTTCCCTCCCCCTCGCCCACTGCACAGAAGACCCCCTGCAAGGCCACCCTGAGCCACCTCCCAGGGACCCACACCATCCCCAGGCTGGGACCTGCTGGCATGGGTCTCCTCCAGCCTCTGTCCCGCACTCAGGGGACCCGTTGGCCACAGCCAACATAGACGGGTCCCAAATTGTGGCCTCCAAGGGATGCATCGGTCACTAGCGATGGGGTGCAGGCATGAGTGGCTGCCTCTATGGACCCAGAGACCAGCTGAGCTGGAGCAGCCATGGCTAACGGGCCAGGCCCCTCCATCTGTTCCCAAATCAGCTCCCATGGGACGAGCCCTGGTGAGGAGTGTCTAACAGGATTTCCCCCAAAAGCTGCTTGAATGCTGCCAGGCAGATAACGAAGCCTGGCTGGCCCTAAAGGATTTCTCCAAGGAAAGGAGTTTATTCTTGGGCACAGACACAAACAGACGGTTTCATCTCCTGTCACTGCTTATGTCTAGTTAGGGTTGCTGAGTCCAACACTTCAACTCCTGGAGACCTGGCTCCCCACAGTGGAGACTGGTCTCGGGTGGGGTTTGTCCCTCTGCGGGCAGCACAGGACAGGGACAGACCTTCCCCAGCTGCCTGCCTCCTCCGCCATGCATTGGCACTTCTCAAAGGTAGAAATATAAGCAATTGCAACAGAAATACAAGTGAACGCAGCATCGAGCGGGCTGCCTGGGGAGGCCAGGGGGAGATGTGGGACAGGGTGGGCAACAGCCACAACACTGTCTTGGGTGTAAGGCTCAGAGAGGGAAACCCCTCCAGAGGTTTAACTGCAAAGATGGCCCAAATGGGACTGCAGACTTCACAGAAGGCACCTATTGGAGCCCAGGAGCTGCAGCAGCACCCTGCCAGCAGGCAGCCTGGTCTCCACCGCCGCAGCCCCCTGCCCTACACCAGAGCCTGAGCAAGGGGCAGTGAGCCCAGGCTCTCGCCACAGACCTGAGTATTTGGGCAGAGGGGATTTTCAATAGACTTTATAAGCATGGATGCAGGAGGCAATTGCTAAAGCAAAGGGCTGCTCTCTTGTCCTGGCGTTGGTTAGGGTTTGCAGGCACCTCTTCATGCTGAGATCCAGGATGCTGTGAATAGCCAGGCAGCACCCCAGGGAAACCCCATCTTTCCACCCCAAAGAGCAAAGTCCCCGTCACTTGCCTGCCGCTGTCTGCATGTAGCCAGCCAGGGTGCAGACTCGCCTCTCGCAGGCTCCGCCAGGCAGCAGGACGGCGACGATGGCCAGCAGCGAGCTGAGGGCCAGCAGGGCACAGCCACCTGCACACAGCACGGCGCTCGTCTGAAAGGACACGCAGGGCTGTCAGTGAGGTGATCTCCCACCACTGTCCCCGTGACACCTCCCCCAAACTCCCCCTCTTGAAGTGAGAAGTGGGGCCCCATTGTGGGCAGCTTCTCCCATCTTTTCCTTTCCACCTTCTGTTGCTTAAATTCACTGTTAAGTCTTGAGCCCACGGTTCCCTGTCACCTGGTCCCAGGGGTTATTAGCATTCGGGTTACGGTGATAACAGCAAATGTATTACATGCATGAAGGGCTACAGCACTAATACAAGTGCCATTAGATGCCTGCGACGCGTGTCAGTGCCTCCAGTGAGAGCTGAAACTTATCTCGTGATGGCGCCCGCCCCCGTAAGCCTGGCAGTTAGAAGGTATTTTGCCAATGATGCTCCGCAGCAGGGAACCTGCTGCTGCAAAGGTTTCGTTCCAGCCAGCCTCTGCCGACACGGCAGGCTGCTCCCAGCCCAGCTCACCTCTGGCAGCCTTACCAGCTTTTCCCTGCAGTGGCCATGTCTTTAATTTAGCCTCTTTTGCAACAGAACTGGGTCATTTGGGGCTGTTACTCAAACCCAGCTCGCGCTGTGGGATGATGCTTTGGGGTGCACAGCGGGCAGCGTTTTCTCCAGGGGCTGGCACAGGGCGGAGGGGCAGTGGAAGGGGAGCCAGCACAGCAGCCTGTCCCCCTGCCACCACCTGCTCGGGGTGGAAGCAGTTTTACTATTTAATATTCTGGCCACAAGATGCAAACTGCATCAGCATCTAAAACTGGGAAAAGTGCTAATTTATGGCAAAACAGCTTGCTGTTGGGTACGGGCACCCATTGCTGCACTGTTGCAGTTTCTGTCCCCATTGCAGGTGACATTTCCACCTCTGCCAATGGGATGGCACTGGCAGCGAGGTGGTCCCCGTAGCAGTGGGGACAAGTGCCAGCCCAGCCAGGGGCACAGCGTGGCTGGGGGTCGTGAGGGGACCCATGACACGTGCCTCCTCCTCCAGCACCCAGCTCATGGCAGCGTTCAAACAGCACAAGGGCACCTCAGTCCTGGCATAGCAGCAGCCACTTCAAGTGCTCTCATTTCACAGCATTTCATGGCAAATTCTACAAAACACTCCTGGCTTTCATGAGTCACCCTGTAATAATGTCAGAGAGTTGGCTTCCTAAAGCAGCACAGCTGTAAGACAGGTCTTGGCTCCATTTTCCTAACGAGCCTCATTATCATAACCTGTCTTAAGGAGCTCAGGTCCCACCTCCACCCGCCCTTGTCCAGCCCTCTTGCCCTGCTGAGACATTCTGGTTAGAAATGCACAATTTTCCTTTTTTTACTTTTCCCCCTACATTTGAGCTTTTGGGCAACCACGGTTACTATAGGAACAAACCCAGTACATGTTTCCATTTGGCCCATCTCACCAAAGGGGTTACAAATCCGGAGTAAATAATCTGCTAAATGCAAATTATGCTGCAGGAGCCACAGGCAGGCTGGAGTGGGAGAAGAAGAATTGGATTTACCCTGTGATGGCTACGGGGGGTCCAAGCAGCTAAAAAAGCCCTCCAGCACTGGCGGTGCTGCCCCACGGGTCTGGCACTGCCCTGCATCTGCCTGCGTTATTTCTAATAACGCTGAGCTGGTTTTTAGCAGCTGGACTGGCTGGTGCCAGGGTGGCAGAGCGGCTGCTCTCCGAAATGGGACACGCTGGTGCTGGCGAGGGACGGGCCAGGCGAGCACGGACACCGCCCTGACACCCTGGTGCGAGCGCTTCCCCCGCTGCAGTGCGGTGATTAGAAATCAGCATCTTATTTATAGCCTATTTATACACCACACAAGCAATGCAAACGCTGTCCCGGCAATAAATTAATTCCTGACATGCAATGTAAAAGGCATGGCAGTGCAAACAGCTACTGAGAGAAACAGGGAGGCTGTTTTCGGCAGGGACTGAGACAGCAGGGGTATCTGCTCCTGTCCAGTACCTTCCAAGCCACTGAGACCCAAAGAGACAAGTGCTGCTTCAGGGCAAAAAAGATGAGCTTGGGACACTCAGGCCAGGACCAGCCCCTTCCCCATCCGTACCCCAGGAGGGGTCTGGGGTGGGATGGGCGACCCCATCGCGCAGACACCCTCCCAGCGTGGGACCCTGCGGGGAGCATGGCCACAGCCCTTGCTCCCCACTGCTCCCAGGGCAGCAGCACGGTGAGGAAATACAGACTCGTTAAAAAAAGAGATTACTCTGCCTGGCATCTGAATTTCACCTTCTACCCGGCAACATGCAAAATCATCCTCCTTTGTGAGGACCATTAATTATTTAGAGTGATGAATTTTTCAGCAGAAAGGGGTCTTGTGAAGCAGGCTGGTTCCTCTCTCGTGTGAAGCATATTATTTTTAATGATCTAGGTTCTTCTTAATTATGGCAGCGCAAATCCCCTAAAAACGCACAGCGCCTGCTGAAAACAACCTATGAGCCCCTCCAGACTGAGAATCCCTGCAGAAAGGTGAAAAGATGTTTTTCAGGACATAGAGACAAGTAAAGCACAAACAGGATGGGTGCAGGTAAGTGTTACACTAAAAGAAGAACTGGGTCTGGTTTGGCTCCTGCCATCAGACAGCAGCAAGACTGCGGGGTCCCGGGGCCGGCAGCACCCCGATGTGCACAGTGGTGGCCAGAAAACAACCGAATCCAACCAGGCCTTGGCAAAGGGAACTAAGGTCTCATTTTGAATAAATGTGTTCAAATTCAAATAGGCAAGAGGTGTAGGTAAACGGTGAGGTTTGTTCTCTGCCACTGGGCCAGGGACGCTGAGCCACAGAACGGCTGCCGGGCAGCTCTGGGGGCAGAAGGGGTAATGCAGCTGAGCGGTTTTGGTGTGGGGCACAAGGGATGGCTGTGGAGCAGCTGCCCCAAAATAGGTGGGAAAGGCATGGGGCACTTCAGGGCAGATCGCAAGAGACCCTGCTGCGAGCCTGCAGTCTTAGTCTGGCTCCTACATTATGCTGGTACACCATCGCCAGAGCTGCTCGAGCACAAGGTGCAAACTTCTTGCCCTAATGCGTTGGTATTACCTGCCAAAACACTGGATATACTCTTGTAAACCAGAAATTTTGCGTTTGTTGTAACCTTTCCAGGGCCTTGGCTGGGAATTATCCCAAGTGCTCCTGCCCTGTACCAGAGTCGCACCTGCAGGTCAAAACAGCCACTTCCGAAGAAAAATAAGGCTTAAGATTGAAGAAGTCCATGGAGCAAAGGTACCGAACAGTAGCAGCTAAAAACCCCCTCCTTCCAACTGCACAGCACCTCCCTCTCTCCTCCCTGTTTATGCCTGTTGCATCTTGAGCGGAAAGGAGAGGATGCAGGAAACAGGATGTAAAGGCTGAAACCCAAAAATAGATGGGGGGGAGGAACAAACGGGATGCATCAAGGCCATCTGTGAGAGCCCAGCTCAGGCAGGGGCAGGAAAAAGCCCATTCATCACAGCAGAGAGCACAGCTCCCTGTGCAAAACAGGCCAGGGAGAAGCGGGACCTCGCTGCCCGGTGGGCTACCTCTCCCCAGACCTGCATCCACGCCAGGGAGACCGCCCTGGGGAGCCCGGCAGCCCAGGGGCTGTGAGCTATCCCGCCTCTGCCACGCTGGGAAAAGACATAAAACCATGTCAGATTTTCTGCTCCCACTCCCAGGGAGATTAATTGTTTATCCCCAAACAAATTAATAGTCCCCTGTTGGGACTGTAAATATGCCTTTATGCAGCGTAATAAATTCCGATTAACAACAATCCTGTACCCATTATTTTAATATTTTACAGGTCTGACACGCACCATGGCATATCACTAAGCAATAAATCTGCTGAAGATGCTGTTTCATTCACCAAAAACCTCAAAATTAAAATGTCACACAGTGACCATCCTGGGAAGAGTCACTTGACATCCCTAATGAAAATTTTTAAAAGTTAACCCACCTTTTGAGGCCAGCATCTATGATCTTTACAGTTTAAAGTGAAAAGGGCAAAGGGAGAAAAAACTGTCTGGTCCAATGAGTTAGTGCTGAGAAATGGTACCCGGTGTTTGGCTTGGTGGAGATAAAACAAGTTGGCAAAACTCCTGCTGTTGCATCCTGTGCACTGGGTCACACCACAATGCACATTCATTTATGAATGCAATTTATTAACTGGAACTTGACGACCCCCGAGAGCTGCCATCCCGGATGGGCCCCGTGGTACCTGGAGCAGTAGGCTGGAGGCAAGGTTACAGACTGCTCGGGTGTTTCAGCCCTGCTCAAATGCTTAAGCATCTTCGCAAATGGGGGCAGAAAATAATCAGCCTAAATAATTAGGAAATAAAGCGACAGGCTAAATGAGAAAAACAGTGAAGGTCACAGTGTATCTGGCATTCTGGGGGTGTCTGTTAAGGAGGAAAAGGTCTGAGAGACCCCAAACGAGCTGGGGAAAAACTGGCTGTAAAATCACCTATAAGAGAAGAGGGGGCAAAATTAATCAAACCATTTTCCTTTTTTACATGCAGTCCCCTCCTGTCAGAGCTCTGTGTGATTAAATATTCATTCAGGGAAGACGTCTTGGAGTTAAACTGGATAGTGCTGTACCTGGAGAGGCAGAAACCGAAAGGACACCAGGGTTTTTAACCTTGTTAAAAAAAAAAATCAGCACTGGATGGAGGTGCTGAGTGGGGACCTAGGGTTTGGGATTTGCAGCAGTGCTGGCAAGGACCCGGGAGGCCACACCAGGGGCCGATGCCGGGAAGTGGATGCAGATGTTGGCAGCTGGGTCTGGCTCTGCTGTGTGGCTTGAGATGTCCCTGGACAGGCTCCTGGTAGAGGAGGAGCAGTCACCAACACCTGTTGGAGGGCAAATAAAGAGGGCTGGGAAGGATCGGTGCAAATACTCAGAGGGGTATCTATCCGCAGGGGAGCAGCGGCGCTGGAGCAGCAAAGCTGGCTTCTCTCCACCCCAGGACCTGATGGGGTCTCTGCGTGGCCCCGCACCCCACAAGTTGCTGGCACCAGCACCACATGGCCGCAAGGTTCTTCAGTCCTCTCGTGAGTTTTGCACTGGACCCTAAAACCCCTGCTTTCATCCACACCACACCAGGTGAGGCTGCCCTGCACCTGAAACAGCAGGGCCCTCTCCTTGGGCAAAGGCGCAAGAGACCTTGGTAAAAACCGGGAATATCCACCTGGGCACAACAGAGACGCCTGCCTCTGCAGGAGATGCTGCGTGCGTAGGGGTGGGTGGATCGAGCCTCGCAGCTTGTTCGTATTTCCCCCACACGAGTCATAGAAACAAACATCCGCCATCTGGTCGGCATTAAAGCGACGGCCAGGAGGAGGATCCCACACGTCCTCGTCTTCTCCTCCCCAGCAGTTACCTTCCTTTCGGCACCATCTGAGAGCTTTCTCCTTCCTATTTGATCTTCCGTCTCCATCCTGCTCCCATGCAGATGCTATGCCCTGCCTAGCGGCACTGGGAAGTGCCCGGTGTTATGCGATGGGAATGGTGGGAGCGGGTCCAACCTCCCAAAACCAGCCTGGCAGTAATGCAGAGCCCCAGGCACGAAGCTGCCAGGGAGGTGCCTGATGTCTCAGAGTCCCCTGAGCTGGGGTGGTTTGGGCTGGGGCACAGGGATGCAGAGGAGGCAATGAGGCTCCAGTCCTCATATCTTCCCCTTCAAATGAAGGATTTGGCTGGTGGGGACCTGCCTGCACCACAGCACGCACAGGGGGGTACTTATCCCCAGCCCAGATTTAGCTGCTCACGCACAAAATTCAGCAAACAGATGCAGCTTGGCTGGTCTTGGCCTTCCAGGTAACTTTCCCACTTTCAAGTGTATTCGACACAAACAGCAGAAGGGTTAATGCCCAAACCGATTCAAGAAAAAAAAAAAGGGGGCATTTTTTAATTAGGAAGAAAATAAGAGTCAGATAATATGTCTGATGAATTATGGCTCTCTTTCTTCCAGTGCCATTGCATCTGGGGATGCTGGAAAGCAGTTCCTAATAGCACTGCTTTATCTAAGAGGATGATGGATAGTGGTGAAAGAGGAAAAAGAGGGAAAAAGTAAGACATTAGCACATCAATGGTGTGCCTGTGACCTCCATCAAGGGAGGCAAACCAATTTAATGAAATTTTAATTAGGCAGCAAGCAGTGTGCTGTCTCTGGGTACCAGATCAGACCTTCTTGCCCGCGCTCTGTTATTATCCTTCCTTGGGATAAGCCCTTTCCTGGCACCAGCAGCAAAGCTGGGCTCATCATCCCGGGCTGGGGAATGCCCCGCAGGTCACAAAGCTCTCTCATCTGGCTTTTCCTTAGAAAAGGAAAAGGGAGTGTGACTTGCAGCCTCAAAGAGGATGGAAGGATGTTCCACCATCAAAATGTCCCTGCTGTGCCCCCACCACCCTGTGCCGGACTCTGCTCTGGAAGAGGACATACAATCTTCAGCCCAAAATGTCCCTCATATGCCCAGGCAATGCCCTTCCCAAGGCACAGGGTTCAGGACTCGTTGTTTGTCGAGCAGGTTTGTGGGCAGGCAACCCAACGTGAACTGGTCATCACTGTCATGAGTAGCCACGTCTCAGCTAAGCCCCGGCTGCTGCCCAGCCCCTGACCCCACAGCCCAAGCAGTGACACTGTGGCTAATACCCACCTCTCTGTGCCTTTGTTTAAGCAAAGCAAAGCAGCTTCTGTCTCCCATTGAGAGCAGAGTTGGTAGAAATAATCCTGAGAACAGCCTGTCTGTATTTTCAATCAACTTAACCTTCCATGGCCCACCCATAAGCTGGTCCTGTCTCAGCACCCATTTCAGCCCAGCTTAGTGGCGATCGGTTCACTGCTCAGCAAGTCCTGGCTATGCTTTGCCACTCAGGCATTGAAGCACGGGGTCAGAGCCCAGGCATTACAGGTTTCCCCAACATCAGGTATTTTCTGTTCTATTAATGTAGGTCAAAAAACTCTGGGTGGCTAATGAAAGGAGATAAAGACTACTGCAAAGTAATATGCATAAAGAGGAAGACAGTGGTTTCAGGAATTGCTGAACACAGCTCTTGCCAAGGCTGTGCAAGTGCAATTAAAAATCAAACTAACTGGTAGACAGAGTAAGCCAGG